TTTCCCAAAAGTGACCTAAAATTTACAGTTAAGTTGTTGATTCATCATTAAAGTTTAATGAATAAACTCATGTGTGTGTCAGTTGTTTGACTGTCATATTTGTAATAATTGAATGCTTGCCATTAGGTGAGACAGTTTTTTTTTCTTACGTGATATACATCATTCTATTAACTGCTTGTTCATTGTCCCCTTTTAGACATTACCTAATAAATCATGCTTACAATGGCACACCTGGAAATATAGTCAAAGACCTGACTGTCTGAAAAATCTTCTGAGGTAATGATTAACAGCATGGTGGAAGAGTGGGCTGAATTTTCTGGGAACCTTAAAAGAGACCATAGGTAATAACATAAAAAATAATGTTTATCTTGAAAAAAACTGTGAGGGTTAAACAACCAAATACTAGGACATAGAAGATTCCTAGCCTCTATAGCCCATAACTGTGCATGACCCCTCACTCTGCCCATGCACTAGCTACCTATGCAAGATATGTCACTTCTTACTCCCTCAAATTAATTACTTACTCCCACAATAAATTAATAGTGGGGGCAAATATTCTTATAAATATACTGTAAAAGAAAGTTAAAAGTAACACATTTTCTTTGACTAAAAATGCATATGTAAAAAAACATACTAACCCAACAAGCCTGTATAAAATATAAACAAACTAATTAGTAAAAAAGCACCAGTAAAAAGAAAAACCACAATGGAAAATAAATCCATTTGTCCCCATCAAGGCTCCACATGGACTGAGAATTCAAGGACAAAAAAGCCTTTACAATGGTCTACTCATGCTTTGAATTCTGAGGACCGCTGACATTGGTTGAGCTGCAAAGCAAACAATATCAGCGCTCTAGTGGGCAAGTCTCACTTTTCACAAGAGTTGTACAGTAATGTGTACAGATCTATGCAAAATGCCAAAAAGGCCTTGTAGGAAGCAATCCTTGCCCACCAAAGCACTGTGATTGGTTGGCTTTCGACCAACCAATCACAGTGTTTTTACTGAGCAAGTAAGGGTGGGATCAGCTTTATAAAGGCCTTTCCTTCCTTGATTATATAAAAAATCAATTATGCGTATGTGCAATAAATAAATATTATTTACAAAAAATGGGTATTGATGAAAGCTGCCACTCCATGACCAGAGCCATATTATAACCTATATGTAACTATGTTCTATATAGAGGGTGCATAAGCATAAATGTAGAATATGTGCATGATGGTTCCCTTTAACAAAAACATAGATTATGGAATTAGAATGAATATAAAACCATCACATTTATTTAAATATTAAATTAAATCTATAAATTTATAGATATGAAAACAGTAAGAGCACTATATATGTTCAAGATAATAAATGTATCAAACAATCATTACCAGCCAATAATAACGAAGTTTGCGCGAGCTGGAAATTAAGCTGCCAGTAAAGACACTTAGGCAGCCAGTAAGTATAGCAAATATAACCATAAATGTTGTGTGCAGCCAGCAGCAGGAGAAAAGGTGTACCAGGCAGGTCCTACAGATCTTAGGGCTATATGAGACAATTAACAACAGTGTGTGCTCCATGCTGCACTCCAGATACAGCCTGACCAGCAGAAGGTTATGGAGCTAGACCAGTTCGGTCTTATCGGTGTTGCATTACAATGGTATCCGCCTCTCAGCAGGATGAAGAAGTATTCGGTGAGTATAATAAACTCCAGCTGTAGAGATTAACATGTTCCAGGCTGTTGAACCTGTTTTTCATCTGATTCCTCTACACTCTAATGGCCTCATACAACTCACTCATATACAATGACAATCAAAATATTGTTCTGAAGCTCCATCCATCCAGGAAATATTGTATTCCTTTTTTTTTTTTTTGACAAATTGTTTGTACTTTTTTTTGCATATTTTGCTGTTTATTCTTTAGCTATACGTAGGACTATATTGCTCTACAGTTGGATCTTCTCTCTTGGAGTTCTCCTATGATTGGAACACTAAGATGAATGCTTACGTTATATTGCTTTTCACTATATTGTCAACTCACTTGTGTTGCCTTTAGGAGCTCCATACAAGCTCAATTTGCATCTTTTTTTTCCTGGGCTGTGGCTTTTTAATGAATTGTTCTCTTTTTATTTTTAATTATTTTTATACTTCCCTCCCCAAATCAGGATTGTTAAATGCTTTATTTTTGTGCTGAAACATTGTTATATTGGTCCTACTTGAATATATAATTCTGTTCCCTTATTATAGCTAAATTGATTTGTTAGTATTAAATATGTCCCATAAGAATATCACACATTGTTTTTGCATTGTTTCCTCCTCTCTCTCTATGATGAGTGACTGGTGCACAGGGCAGGACTTCTAACAATGATTGATAGCTGGCCAAGATATAGGCCCTTGTTTTCAGAATACAGGTAAATACACCAATGTGGGTTTCTATATTTTATTTTTCAGACACTAAATACATTAATTAAATACAAGGGATAAGATAGCATAAATCCTGGGCAGTGACAGTTTTCCTGTTAACAAATATAACTTTAAGTATGTAATGTATTCAAAATGCCAAGAACTTTTCCATGCAGTGACTAGATATCAATTATTGTGGTGTATCTAAAACTGCGTTGTTTTACATTGAAGGACTAAGGGGGAAGGGACAGTACAACCAAACCATTTCAATGAGCTGAAATGGTCTGGGTGCCTATACATTTGATATTGATTTTAAAATAACTTTGAAAA